AGATAAGAAGTACATCGAGTCTAGATTGTGCACAAAAAATTTCAAGCCAATCCAAGGTCTAGAAGTATTTTTCTCGAAATTTTTCCCAACACTGCGCTAGACAGAAAAATAACTGGCAGCACACTACCAAAACTTTACAAAATTTTTCTGGAACAACCAAAGCATATTTTTAACAAAATCTTTTTACAGACATCAAATACCACAAGTCTAGGTTCTCCAGAAAAAATTTAATGCCAAAAGGAATTCAACAAGTATTTTTCATGAATTTTTACTTTCAAACTGCGCTGATCAAAATTTTCATATTACTATGTGTGAAGATCATTCTTTTTAAACACCATAAAATCACCATAATTCCATTATTTTAGGAACCACCACCAGGGACGGAGCCAAAGGGGGGCAGCTGCCCCCCCTCCCCCCCCCCCCCCCCCCTCCTCACCCCATATGTAGTCTTTGTATGTATATATGTATATATAGTACATGTTTTAGTATTAGTATAAAACAAATATAAAATATTAACAGGAGTGAGTTAGATTAAGTGGTAGAGTACATATTTGGTAAAAGTGAGGTCAAGGGTTCAAATCTTGGCATTAACATAATTTTACAATTCATTAATTATATTTCATGTTTTGTTATGAATATTTTTATAAAGTTTTGATGTGTTTTATTTTTTCGTCCATACCCAACAATATGTACAACTATATTTCTTAAGTAATTTATTTATTTATTTTTAAATTATCTCTTTTGTTTAATTTTTCGCCTTTATTGAAAAAATTTTCTGAATCCGTCTGTACTGTTTCGCCCCCTCCCCCCCTCAACCAAATTTCTGGTTCCGTCCCTGACCACCACGCGACTGCCTTCTCCGTCATTTGCACAAAATAATTGTTCCCAAAATTATCAGAAGCCGTATGGTCAATAATGATCATAATTATTACACACATATACATATGTAAACACAGTATACAGAATATCCAAATTAAAATCCAATTCACATAATTATTACATACATAATTCACATATGTTGGCGTGACTTTTAGCAATATCTATTCAAATTAATAAAATACATAACATATGCAATTATATTTACGAATCCACAAAAATATAACATATGCAAATCTACTTGATTCATTCGTACAGATTATAATTCCAGTCAAACATATATATATATATTCTAACAATTAAGCATATATTCTATGTGAAAAATTTCCAAATATATATATATATATATATATATATATATATATATATATATATATATATATATATATATATATATATATATATATCATGCGTATTAGTAGAGTTATTATTTGTCACATTATTATTGTATTCTATAGGTATTATTTGTGTGGTAGAGAGTTAGTCTACTTTGACTATCCTGATAGATAGGGATCTCTACGTTAGCTTTTCCTATTGTATTGTATTCAGATTATGATTGTTCAATTGAATTTGAATTAGCTTTCCTCATCTGGTATCAGTTAGCCAGCGATCCACTCTTCCTATTTTCCCTCAAACAACTTCCGATCGCCTCTCACCTCCGATCGACATGTCTACCAACTCCTCCGAGCGGACGGTAACTGCTTCTCCCGTCTCCGCTCCGGCCACCCAAAACACCCTGTCGAGTGCCCACCACTTCGTTTCCATTAAGCTAAACGCACGCAACTTTCTTTTCTGGCGAACCCAATTGGTTCCTTTTCTCCGAGGCCAAGGGCTTTTGGGCTATGTTGATGGCGGAACACCGTGCCCACCGGCCACCATTGACACGGCTCCAACCTCCGGTGACACAGCAGTCACGCCCGCGACTTCCGGTCCCAATCCGGCGCACCAAGCTTGGATGCAACAGGATCAATCAATCCTGTCGCTCCTCATCTCTTCGCTATCGGACGAAGTGATGTACCTAGCTGTTGGTCGGACAACTTCGAAGGCAGTATGGGACTCCATTACTGCTGCTCTTGGCTCGTCGACGCGCGCTCGGTGCTTAAACCTCATCGGCCAATTTCATTCGTTGCGGCAAGGAAACCAGTCTCCGGCGGAATACCTTGGGCGTGCACAACTCATCGTCGAAGCTCTGGCATTGGCCGGCCGGCTCTGGCATTTGTCACATTATTATTGTATTCTATAGGTATTATTTGTGTGGTAGAGAGTTAGTCTACTTTGACTATCCTGATAGATAGGGATCTCTACGTTAGCTTTTCCTATTGTATTGTATTCAGATTATGATTGTTCAATTGAATTTGAATTAGCTTTCCTCATCATGCGGTACAAGCAATTAGGCAGAGATAAATATAATTGAAAACTCATAAAATTTACCGTTCACCGGGGTTGAGCGTGCTGATAACGTATTGAATTGCAGGTTTGTCTGCAAGCCTTTAGCTCGTGAAGAACAGTAATAAAGAATAATAATAGCAGGAAGAAGAAAAATAAATAATAGAGAAAAGTAATTCTTATTATCATCATCACAGCATTACAATGGTACATATAATCTCTATCATAATAGCCTTTAGAACTCTTACAGCATTAGAAAGGACTCTTACAACATTAGGAATCCTACAGTATTAAAAGTCAGCCAGAATAATGTCCACATAAGATTTTACAACAAAATTCTTTTTTTTTTTTAAATAATATTTAGATGTTTCACAAAGCCAAATAGTTTTTTGTTAAGGCACACAACAATTAAGAATCATATCATCAATATAAAGCCAGAATAATGTCCACATAAGATTTTACAACAAAATAGCTTAAATAGCCAAATAGCTTTTTTTTTTTTAGGCACACAACGCTTAATAGTTATTTCGCACACAACGCTTAATAGTTATTTCAGAAGTATTTATATTAAGAGTTTGTAAGTCAATGTAGTATACACTGCCTCTACTAAAACTCAAACCCACAACTTATCATATGAGAATCCAACCTTAATGCCATTAGACCACAAGGTTTTAACAAATTTTGTAAGTTATATATACTTATTTATGTCTTTTTCTTGTAATAAAATGTGATTTAAGGAAAAGTTCATTTATTGTTAGCTGATCAGCTTAAATTAAGAAGGATAATAGATAATTCTTTGAGTTGAACTTGAGACTTTGTAAAATTGTAGACTTGTAATTATCATTTACCAAACTATTTCGGAATTACTTGTTCAACTGAATTGATCATTTCACACCAATCAAACTATTTATTATTTGTGTTTCTATTACATAAAAATAATTAAATATTTAAAATATATATTTGAAATAAAAATAAATAAATATAAACATTACGATAACCAATAAATATTATGAATAAAGTAAACTTTAAAAAAACAACATGTAATCAAATAATGCTAAATAACTATTTAGAGTAAAGTTTTCATTTTTAACTTATTGACATCAATAAGTTAAAAAAATTACTCTATATGAATTAAATATGTGTTTTAGTGTTTGACTTGATTAAACAACTAAAATTTGATTAGATAAATAAACTAAAAGTTAATTTATAAATGGAATAATGGTCAAATAGACCACTCAACTGCACACTAAAATGTAATTAGGTCATCAAACTAAAAGATAATGTAATTTTGTGTTTCATAGACTCAATTACATTTTTTTTTTGTTCAATGACCTAATTGCATTGGTGTGAATTAAGTGACCTATTTTACCTCAATTTATTTACAAACACTCTATATTTATATAAGAACTAGTTTTTTTTTTACGCTTGCGCGATTGGGATAATGCCCAATGTTTTTCTTAAATAAGTATTTTAAAGTATATCAAGGAAGATTATATTGGAATTGTTCATGCATAGATAATTGAATGTTGAATTTGCGTATTCAAATTGGTAATTCTAAGTTTACAAACGCAAGATAATATAGTCAAGATTGATTATAATTGTCAATAAAATAATTGTATGGGTATGGTTGAAACCAAATACGGGATATAAGGGAGAGCAAATAAAAATTAAAGCATAAAATATTAAATATATACTAATATTGTTTGAGGAGATTCTGACAGTAGGAGCGTTATGCTGTGGGCACGGTTTCATATCCGTAATTTATATACTGTAGATTCGTAATTTCTATAGTTTAGATCCATAATTTCTATACTTTAGATTCATAATTTCTAAACCGTAGATTCATAATTTAAATACAGTAGATTCATAATTTCTATACTGCAGATTCATAATATCTGTACTGTAGATTCATAATTTCTGTACTGTAAATTCATAATTTCTAAACTGTATAGTTATCAATTATGAACATGTAGTTTTGTGATTTGTGAAAACAGAGTTCAACAATTGGAATCTAAAGTATAAATTTTATGAATCTACAGTGTAGAAATTATGGATCTACAGTATAGAAATTATAAATCTACAGTATAGAAATTATAGATATGGAACCGTGCCCACCTTGCAAGGTGGGCACGTGCTCACAGCATAATTTGCCGGATTTGTGGTTAGAGTTCTATTAAGACTTTAAAATTAGAATTAGATTAATGTTGTAGTTTAATTCTATATTAGACTTTAATATTAGAATTAGACTAACGGTGAATTAACGGTACTAATAGAAAAGTTAATGGATCGAATAATCATATAATTAAGGATAAATTAGGAAATCTCAAGGAAAAACAAAAATCTGAACAATCTGAACTATTCGTTTGATTTAATAATTTGACGGTTATTTTTTCTACTCAATGTTTATAATTAAATAAATATTTGAAAGTATATTAATGCAAGATTATATATGAGAAGTTCAACATAAGTAATTTAATGTCTAATTTATTTATTTAAATATGTAATTCATAGTATATGAATACAATGTAATATAGGAGATTCATTATAATTATTACTAATTTTTTTTTAAATAGTAACCAAGTATTTTAGTTGCAAATGGTTCTAATATATTTAATGAATGCGCATATATACAAGATCAATGAATGACTCAACGATACCAGTCCTTTAGTTGTTTTGCTCCGTGTTCATTTTTTTTTGAAAACCAAGTGAAATCAGATTGCATTAGCCAAAATCGGCTCCTAAAAAGACGGAGGACCATCCCTCCAGACTGAACATACGGCTGGCGCATTTTCGTGCTTAGCCAACATATGAGCCGCTTTATTAGCGTCTCGTCTAACAAACGTAACTATAGTGCCAGGCATAGTAGAAATTAAACGAATACACGCGTCCAAAACAAAACCAATATATGAACGAAATGAACGAGTATTACTAAGACTTGTAACTAGAACTGCACAATCCGTGAATAGTGAGGCCGCCGCATAACCATTATTCTTAAGCCAAGATAGCGCCTCAGTCACCGCCATCGCCTCCGCCATTAGGGGATCATACGGACATTCCATAGGACCATTAGCCGCTGCAACGTAGCTCCCATCCGCCTCCATCACCAAAAAACCGTAAGTGGCATTTTGATGGCTATTATGAAATGCCGCATCTACATAGCAACGTACACCATTCTGCCTTTGGCCTTCATGCACAAAACTGGTGTTTAAATGCGCTTGTGGGACCTTGGGACGTGCGCCGTACTCCTGCCACGCAACCCAACTAGAAGACAGCCGGTTACACAAGGCAGTTGGAGTTGGCAGATTTCCGTTCCAAACTACCGAGTTCCTAGCTGACCAAATACCATGCAACACACCACATATTCTCCCTCTAACATCACACCCCAGCGTCGATGCGTCTCCCAGCCACAACTCTGCCCAAAACAGAAAACTGTTACCATTAAAAGGGGGTATTGGCAACTGCAAGAGATTCCATACAAGAGAGGCATAAGTACACGAACAAAGCACATGCATAACATTCTCCTCTACTAAACCACAAGCCGGGCATACATTGACCAGCTCCACTCTCTTTTTAATCAAATTATCAAGAGTTGGCAAAATGTTAGAAAGGGCTCTCCACATAAAATTCTTCCGATTTGGAGGGATTTTCAACTTCCATATGCTACTCCAAACGTACGAATTAGGCGCCAAAACATCCCCTAGCCGCCTATAGCCACTTCTTACCGAATAATTCCCCGTTATATCTCCTTCCCAGTACCACAAATCATCATAAGTGTCATTCAAAGGTAGTTTGTTAATCAAGGAGGCATCTCGTGCATTAAAAATTTGCTGGATCAAATTAGTATTCCATGTTCCCGTGACATCATCAACTAAATCGGCAACCATCATGCCTTGGTTAATAGCCAGTTGGTCAGTTGACACGAAAGGATCCTGTGAATTAGGCAACCATGGATGAGCCCAAACCTGCGTAGTCCGCCCACCACCAATCCTCCGTCTGCACCCCATTTTGACAAGTCCCTGACTAGCCATTACACTTCTCCATACATAACTCGGGTTTCCCCCTAGTGCCGCGTCAAAAAAAAAGTAGTAGAAGGATAGTACCTTGCCTTTAAAACTCGGGCCATTAGAGAATTTGGAGCCGTGAGGAGGCGCCAACCCTGCTTTGCAAGCAAAGCCAAGTTGAATGTAACCGTTTAAAGCCCAGACCACCAAACTTCTTAGGGGTGCACATTCTGTCCCATGCCATCCAATGGATACCATCATCCCTATCATTCCGGCCCCACCAATATCTGTTCATTAATTGCTCCAGAGAAGCACACAACGTTGTGGGGATTAAAAAGATACTCATAGTGTATGTTGGCATGGCCTGTGCCACACTCTTCAACAGAACCTCCTTACCAGCTCTGGACAGAAGCCGCTTATTCCATGACCCAAATCTCTGCTTCAGCTTCTGCTCAATATAAGCAAAAACCAACTTCTTATTCCTGCCAATCACAGAAGGGAGTCCCAGATACTTACCAAAATCATCAGCCTGAGAAACCCCCAAGGCCCTAGCTACGTGGTCATTCATATCATCCAACGTGTTGCGGCTGAAAGAAATACTAGATTTATTAAAATTGACCGCCTGTCCAGAATAAGCCTCATAAACTCCAAGACACCTCTTAACCTCCATAGCTTCCTGCAGATTAGCCTTAAAGAAGAGAAGACTATCATCCGCAAAAAACAAATGTGAGATAGCCGGTGTCCCCCTGGCCACCCTACATCCATGAATTAGCCCCTTGGCCTGAGAATCCTGCAGCAATAAAGATAACCCCTCTGCGCAGATAATAAAAAGGTAAGGAGATAAGGGATCACCTTGTCTTAGACCCCTCGTAGGAACAATCTCCTCAGAGGGCCTTCCATTCACCAGAACCTTATACCGCACAGAACGGACACACAACACAACTAGCTGCACCCACCTGTCATCAAACCCCAACCTCCTCAACATCTGTTCCACAAACGGCCACTCCATTCTATCATACGCCTTGGCCATATCCAGCTTTAGGGCTGCCCAGCCAACCTGCCCCAATTGCTTCCTCCTTAGATAGTGCCCTACCTCCGAAGCTATCACAATATTATCAGAAATTAATCTGCCCGGCAGAAAGGCACTCTGAGATTCAGAAATTATTCCCTCCAAAAGTGGTTTCATGCGGTTAGCAATCATTTTAGCCATGACCTTATAAAGCACATTACACAGAGCTATTGGCCTCAGATCAGAGATAGACACAGGGGCCTTCTTAGGGATCAAAACAATATTCGCATCATTTAAATTGGAGGGGGGGGGGGGGGGGGGGGAATAAGACTGGGAAAGACAATTAAGCACAAAATCTGTCACATCCTTACCTATCACACTCCAGAAAGACTGGTAGAAGGCAGAATTCATTCCATCGGGCCCCGGAGACTTGTCCTTCCCCATAGCAAACAAAGCACACCGCACCTCCTCCGGCTCAAAAGGACGTAAGAGCTCCACATTCTGCTCAATGGTAACTCGTGGCTGCAAAGTATCCACACTGAAAGAGCCCGGGGACCCTTGTGATGTAAAAATCTGTTTATAGTAAGAGACAACCAACGAGTCAAGCTCCCTACCCTCCTTCCATACACCCCCATCATCCTGCAGCTTCAAAATCATATTCTTCTTCCTACGATGGCCGACATATTTATGGAAGAACTTAGTGTTTCTGTCAGCCCCCTGCAACCAGTACTGCTTAGCACGCTGTATCCAGAAAGCCTCCTCCTGAGAAAGAACACAACTCAAGGTGACATCCAATTGTTTGAAACGAGCCAGTGAACCAGAATCAAAACAGCCCCGCAAAGCATTCATCTCCCTCCTGATCCCCTCTAGTCGCCTTCCAAACCTATGAAATCTCTCCCCACCCCACTTTTTCAAGCCCCGACCACACAAACCCAGCCTCGCCTGCAAATTCAACCCCGCATAATACGACCACTCCCTCTCCACCACCTCCCTACACCCATTGTCCAGCAGCCATGCATTCTCGAATCTGAAACCCCGGGCATGATAAACCGGTGCCTCCCCATATATATCCAGAAAGAGAGCCGTATGGTCAGACTCGTCCGTTTGGATATTAAACAGCCGAGCCCTCTCATAATCCTCCCTCCAACGCATGCACGTTACCACTCTATCCAGCCGCTCCTCCACCCAGTCCACTGTCCCCTTGCCACGCTCCCAAGTATAAGGATAACCTATCATGGGAAACGTTACCAATCCACAATCTTCCAACGCCTCCCCAAACCCCTCCAACAGCCCATTAGGATGTGGCAATCTTCCCCGCTTCTCAGTTTGCATTAATAAATCGTTAAAATCTCCTAAGACCACCCAAGGAAGGTCTGAAGCAGTCTTAAAAGATCTCAACAAATCCCACGCAGCCCTTCTCCTCGTCCTTTCCGAATAGCCATAATAACATGTCAACCTCCACGGATCCCTACCAGACAGAGACACCTGCAGATCAATATGATGATGAGAATAACTAATCAGCCTGGCATTATTGTTACGCAGCCACAAAAAGCATAGGCCACCCTTTGTCCCCACACTATCCACCTTGAAACAACCCTCAAAACCCAACTTCACCCTTAACCTCTCCGCGTGATCCCCACCCACCTTCGTCTCCATCAAGAACACAAACTCGGGCTTCTTCCTGGACACAAGGTCCACCACCTCATGAACTGTCCGTGGATTGCCCAAGCCACGGAAGTTCCAAAATAACGTACTCATTGAGAATGGCGGGCCTGATCCTCAGGCCTCGCCAAACACATAGCATTGGAATCAACATTCATACCCCTCCCCTCAACTACCACCATACCCTCACCCTCCTCCACCCTTCGCCTCTTAGGATCAACCCGTACCCCTACCTCCTCCACCCCACCACCCGTAGAACCTCCCCCATTACCCGACACCTCCGGCTCCATTCTTCCCACCCCCAAACCCGACTGCCCCATACCCGAAACCACACCGGCAGTGTCCCCGAACCCAATCGCACGCCTCCTCTCCTGCCCAAGTTGAAACCATTTATCCCCAAGTACCTTAGCCGGACTCGAACCCCCAGCCCGTAAACCCGGTCCATACAAATACTGCTCCGGCTGCAAACCCGCACGTCTTGCCTCTAGACAAAACTTGTCTGTATGCCCCATTCTTCCACAGAAAAAGCAAAACATGTGGAGCCTCTCATACTTAAAGTTTATCCATGTCCAAGAACCGTCCCGCAGAACCATCTTCATCCTCCGTTTTAGAGGATTAGTAACATCATGTGTGATCTGAACTCTATAATACGAAACCCACGGGCGTGTAAAATTGCGGTCATCCACCTGTAAAAACACCCCAGCAAAGTCCCCAATCTTCTCCAAGACCTTCACTGTACGATAGCCCGACGGTAAGTCAAAAACCTGCATCCATATATCCACTGTACTCAGCACCGTCTGCATAGGATCATCACCAACATTCAATGGCTGACATAAGAAAGTCGCATTCTCAAAAGCCCAGGGGCCATCCCTCAAAACTCGCTGCATATCCGCCTCATCAAAAAACGTAAACAGATAGAGGTTCGGTTGCACATCAGTGACTTCAATACCCATCAAAGGACGCCAAGCCGAAGCCATTACGCGTTTCATCATATCCTGCTTCAGCAATCGATCGGTCAAGAACTTACCAACCAGTGTCCAAGTCTGCCGTTCACATGCATGATCGGCAACCGTGACATCGTCGAACCGGACACCCAACTCTTCATCCTCTAACGAAATCTCCGTTGTGCTGGCAATCAACCCCTGGACATCCATCGCAAGTGCATCCGAGGACGACACACCCGTACGAGCAGCAGAAAATCACGTAGAAACCAAACCCTAGAATACAGGGAGAAACGTACGAAGAAACCCTAGAGAGAACAGGGAGAAAATAAAAGTAACCGCTCCATGTTCATTTAGTTCAACCATTATTGTCGAATAAATTATTATGGATAAAGAAGTTCCTAATTTAAGGAATTTAGATGTAGTAAAAATTTAAATTTTTTAATTATAATGTAATCCAAAGATATTGGACGATTGGTAAATATGATGTAACCCAAAGATCAAAATGCTAAAGAAAGTGTTTTGGTTATTCAACTGTTTGAAGCAATAATTTATTCCAAACCACTGAAAATACAAACATTGCAATTTATAATATTTCCACTTAGCGTTTTTGAGAATGAATTTCCCAAAACACATCTATATTTTTTAAAAAAATTATTATTAAAATTATTATTATTATTATTATTATTATTATTATTATTATTATTATTATTATTATTATTATTATTATTATTAGGTCATTTTAAATATTAATTTAAACAGTTAATTTTTTTAAATTTCTTTTTACCATCCGTTGATATAATTCCCTAGTTAAATTCGCTAACTGCTGATTGTCAAACAAAGACATTGCGAGGTAGTTTCTCACTTCAATTTGTTGTGTGATTTGAATACTCTCTTTGTCAACAAATCCCTCAAGTAGTTAATATGATTGACTTTATTAATTTAAATTTTAAAAAAATTTCATGGTATTAATAAAATACTTGGTAAATAAATATATAGCATTATTTTGTATTATAACGGTTGGTTTTTGGGTTTTTGGGCCCAGGGAGGTCCAACACAACATTGGTTGGTGGATTCACCTATCAACAAAGATTTAACGAAATGGAAAGGAATGAATAAAAGTGGAAAAGTGTTTCTCTATTCTCTGGGCCTCGACTCGCCTCCTTTCACACTCTCGGAGGGGTCTTTATATAGGTGCCCCCCTTTAATCTGACTTCAAGTACATTTAAGGGGTCTTAAGTGCTATTTACGCTACAGGGCTGTTGGGCTGCCGTTACTGGGCTTCCCAACGACTCCTTTGACCGAGCTCTTCAATGCCATCATAAATGCCGTGCAACGGCTCTTTACCGATCCGGCCGAGTCCCAGTCCTATCCTTAAGCTCGGGCCGACTCCTGGGCTCGGCCTTAGTCTCTTCCGGGCCTTGTTACTTATTCGGGTTCCCCACCTTGGGCCGTATGTTATTCTTCTTGGGCTTCTTCATCCTTCTTGGACTTCCCCCTCCCTCTTGGGCTTCTCCTTTTGTACTTCTTCTTGAGCCGGGGTCCACACCCCATCAATAACTTTGATATTTAATTAAAAAATAGTGCACAAAAAAGATAATAGACAATGTAGTGAATATAGTCAATTGATGAATTTGAATGTAAAGAATTTTTACATTGGAAAAAAATAAAGACAATATACTAATGAAATTATTTCTCTTAATTAATTTATTGATAATGAATAATTTTTTTTAATAAAGACATTGTAGGGACAATGTAACGAATATAATCAATTGATGAATTTGGATTTTGAATGTAAAGAATTTTTATATCGGAGAAAATGAATATTTTTTTTGAATAAAGGCATTGTAGACACATAATTCTAAATTAAAGAAATGCATATGTATTATTTTTTGTTGTAACTACTAAATTATTATAATTTAATAAGGGTAAAATAGAGTACAAATTATGTCAAACTTTGATTGGAATGAGGTTCGAATCTTAGATTTTTTTTTTTAATTGAAATCAATGAGTAAGTTAACGATGAACTAACAGGATAAATTTGAAAATCTCAAGAAAAAATTAAAATGATCAATCTGAGTCATTCATTTAATTAAAAAATTTGACCGCCCATTATCTAACAAACTTGGAAGAACAAATGAGGTACATCCCAATGTCCTCATTATTTGCATTTCGTCTGGGCTTGCACTCGCACTTCCCCGTCGACCAGCGGAAGCCGGCGGCCATCAGAGGACTGCAAATCTGCAATAAGTTATTAGCGGCAAAGGCTGCAATCTGCGGTGGTAGTTTGTTTCTCTCAATTACTGCATATTCTAAGATTTTTTATTTTTTGATAAATTTTATCTTTTACCAAGTTGAGATATTTCAGATATTCAGAATTTGTTTGTTTTGTTTTGTTTTGTTTTGTTTTGTTTTATTTGTTTTTTGTTTTTTGTTTTTGTTTTTGTTTTTTTTTTTTTAAGCTTGTTCTAACTTGGAGGACTGTAAGTGGATTTGTGCATTCTTAATTCCGCATTGTGCATTTTCTACTATACTAATAAGAGCCCAAGAAAGTTAGGCCTATAATTGGTAGAAAAAATGGCGGTCACAGATTTTAATCAAATGAATGACTCAGATTGATTAAAAGATTGATCAGATTTAAATTTTACACTAAATTTCCTAAAATACCCACACACCGTTACTAATTCCGTTAAAATTTTAAGAATTGCCGTTAGTTCACCGTTAACTTACTCATTGATTTCAATAAAAAAAAAAAAAAAAAAAAAAAAAAAGTCTTAAGTTCGAACCTCATCCCAATCAAAGTTGGCATAATTAGTACTCTATTTTACTCTTATTAAATTATATAAATAATAATTTAGTAGTTACAACAAAAAATAATACATATGCATTTCTATAATTTAGAATTATGTGTCCACAATGCCTTTATTCAAAAAAAAAAAATTATTAATTATCAATAAATTAATTAAAAAAAATATTTTCATTAGTTAAATTGTCTTTATTTTTCTCAAATGTAAAAATTTTTACATTCAAATTCATCAATTGATTATATTCACTACATTATCTATTATGTTTTTTGTGCACTATTTTTCTAATTAAATATCAAAGTTATAATACAAAATAATGCTATATATTTATTTACCAAGTATTTTATTAATACCATGAAAAAATTAAAAAAAATATATAATTAATAAAGCCAACCATATTAACTACTTTGAGAGATTTTGTGACAAAGAAAGTATTCAAATCACACAACAAATTGAAGTGAGAACTACCTCGCAATGTCCTTGTTTGACAATCAGCAGTTAGCGGATTATACTAGCGAATTTGACCAGCGAATTTATTTAATTATTAACATTGGGTAGAAAAAAATGACCGCCAAATTATTAAATCAAATGAATGGTTCATATTGTTCAGGTTATAATTTTTTTCTTTTAAGATTTTCTAATTTATCCTTAATTATATGATTATCCATTCAACTTTTCCGTTAATCCACCGTTAGTCTAATTCTAATATTAAAGTCTAATATAGAATTATAACTACACTATTAATCTAATTCTAATATTAAAGTATTAATAGAACTTAACCACAAATCCTAATGTCGGAATCTCCTCAAACAATATTATTATATATTTAATATTTTATGCCCTAATTTTTATGTGTTCTCCCTTACGTCCCGTATTTGGTTTCAACTATACCTATACAATTATTTTATTGACAATTATAATCAATCTTGATTATATTATCTTGCATTTGTAAACTGAGAATTACCTATTTAACCCACACGGGCTTAGCTCAATGGTTTAGTGGGTAGTATTTGGGAGAAGAGACCAACGTTTGAACCTCGGCGGCGGCAGTGCGAGAATTATGTCCAATGTGGGCAGATTCCTTGTGCGTATCAGCATTTGGCCCTGTCTATTGAACCATTGAGTCACCGTGATTTACAACTTCCCACAATGCTCTGTCGGGCCGGAGTGTGGGGGGCCCTTGGGGTTGAGGACTCAACCTTTGGGAGAAGAATTACCTATTTAAATACGCAAATTCAACCTTCAATTATCTATGCATGAACAATTTCAATATAATCCTGCCTTAATATACTTTAAAGTACTTATTTAAAAAAAAAAAAAAAACATTGGGCATTATCCCAATCGCGCAATGCGCGTAAAAAACTAGTCTTAATAATAAATTGCGTATTGGTTATGACATTAGGTCATAGGTGTTGCCGTGTTGGATCATTCAAGCTAGCTTTCAGTTTCTTAAATTAATTGATTTATATGAAATTTACGTGCTTTATGTCGCAAAAATGGCAGGTAATTGTTGAATACTTGAATTGGTGGTTCATTTGGTTGTGCATTTATTTTAATTATTTAGGACTCGAGGTTGAGGAGTGAGGACTATAATTTTGTTATTTGTTAAAATGTCAATTGTTTATAATTCTAAAATGCTAAAGTTCTAATTGTTCAGCTATGGAAAAATAGTTCAAGAGAAAATCTACTCTTGCTGAATCATCTAGTCAAGGTAGTCTAACCGGGCCAAATGTGCGTCCTTGTATCCAGATAAATTTAGATCCAACTAAAAGAAAAAGCATCTATGAATATCATGTCAATGATAGAAATGTTGTGCATGATGGTACATACAAAAGGGTCCTTGTCAACCTCAAAATTATACATGTCCTACAAGATTGATTTCAAGTGCTAATTGAAAATTCAATCCTCAATGGTTTAAAGAGCATAGTAATTGGTTGGAGTATAGGATATCACAAGATGTAGCATATTGTTTATGTTATCTTTTCAAAAATAAAAATGGAAACCAAGGTGAAGGCGAATCATTTTTTATAGAAGGATTCACAAATTGGAAAAAAAGGACCAGAGAGGCTACGTGCACGTGTGGGGAAACACAATAGTGTTCACGAGACTTGTGTAAAAGCTTGTCAAGATTATAAAGATTTTATTACGCAGTCGGATGGGCCATGATTTGTTTAAGGATTGCTAGGTGCCATATTTTGATAAAGACACCTTCAACATTGTCCCAAATGAGAAGATCATACAAAAATTTCAAAATATGAGAGAACATAGAGGAGTATTATCTCGTATTTTGTCAAGACTATTAAACTTTGCATTTAGATTTATAATGTGTTTTGTATTTGAATTGTTTTGTATTCAAAGTATTTTGATGTATGAAGATGTCCTTTACTTTTTTACTCCACTAGACAAAAATCCTAGCTTTGCTTCTAATTCGGATATTCTTGATCTCTGTGGAGGTGCTCTCATTTCTCTATCTCTGTATTTCAAATTTCTCTTGAGATCTAATTGTCAAATTTCCCTTTATTTCTTTCTCTTATTTGATGGTTGTAATTCTTTATTTTTCAGCTTTATCAATATTGGGTGTTCAAGCAGTATAAAGAGATGGCAAGCATGGTTTTATGATTGTAAACAGGAACAGTATTCCCATCTACAAAGCTGAAGTGGGAACTGCAATTGAGGCAATGCATCTTTCTTTTCACTACTAGTTTGTGCCTCTGATGATCATCATTTTGCAATGGTGCGCTGACCAGTTTTAGGGGGCGTTTGGTTCAGGTTATATAAGATAAATAAGGTTATATTTCCTTGGGAATATAAGATTCTCATGTTTGGTTCAAGTTATGCAATTTCCCTAGGGAATGTAACATAAGGTTTTTAGCTATTGCAAGGGAATGAGAGATACCCTCCCCTTTCTTAGGTATTCTCACATTTCCTTGTCTTATTGCTAATTTTGTCATTTTAATCCATTGCCTCTAGTTAATTATTGTTCAAACTCTTAGTTAATTAATTTTAAATCATTTACTTCTATATTTTACCATTGTCTTATTTATTTATTTTAATTTTAAATTTATTAAAATACATAAAAATAGGTTAACATTATTCAAAGTAAAAATGATCATCATACCATTAAAAAAAAAAACTCTTCAACCAAACGCCCCCTTATATCTTCATTGTGCAATGGTGGGAGTTCATGAACTTTGAAAGTTATACCAAATTATGTCCTTTTGTTGTACTCGATAATAGACTGTCCAGTCTTAAGTTCATTCTTCTAGTGTAAGAAATGTTTTATTTTATATATTGCCAACTCAGAGTTACAGTAGTTAATATGCTAAACAGTACGGTTAACCTCTGTTTTTTGCATTAAGAAGGTGTTTTGGAGGAAAGTAGAAATTAGTGTTAATGTAAAGATTGGATTTTTTAGATTGCAATTGATCTTTCAATATGATATGAAAGTGATTTAGGATGTTAGAGAGAATGCATTTGATCTAAACAGGCACTCGACAGTGTAAAATTCTCCACTTTAGATTACTATTGATAAGTTTCTGAGAGCAGCTGTTCTGAAGTTAAAATTGATGTCCTCAAATTACAGTCTTGACTTTAATTGGTTTCTATTCCTGCAATCAATATTATATACACACACTGCAGCAATGCATTTCCAGTTTTGCTTCTTTAGTGCTTATCACAGAATGATTGAGAATCTATCTTTCCTTTTTATAAAGAGTTACTTCCATTATATTATTATACACAAATATTATCTTGAAGTTTGAGTATTTTCTTAACTTAGCCAGAAAGAAGACGCTGCTCTCCAACACCAGTTCAGAGTTGATGCTGCAGTGGACATTGTCCGTGTATATAGGCGGTAGGCAGTTCACACGCCTTGCTTGCCCTTAATTATTTTGTTTTCTTCAATTCCCTACCTTTCCATTCAGGTTTTTTTTTTTTTCAAGTTAATTGGTAATCAAGTGGTTAGGTATATGTGGGGTACACATTTCAACTTATTACTGATTGCTCAACTTGTGCACACAGAAACATTATTTGGGATTTTGTTATTTGCTGTTTTCACTAAACCTTTTTAGACTTATTTTGATACTAAGACTTGCATTGCTGAAGGCTGAAGGCTGAAGGCTGAAGCTGGTCTTCATGTATTTGGATGCTGTTAATAATCATGTTATAATAATGGAAAGATAAGATCCCTTGATAGAATATACCTTTCAGAGTAAACAGAAAGCTGGTAGAATTAAGGTTGGCAGCATATTAGCCAAAAGCAGCTGAAACCTTACCTTGTTGCGTTCCAGACATGTGTGTCAGGTAAATGAGAGACAATAAGACAAAAAACCCAGACTCTATTTGGTATACTATGCATCAGACCAGCTTATCTGATGCATCAATATTTTTGGGTCCCTCTCAATTCTGCTTTGTTAGGAATATAGCGGAATATTGCGGAAGCGAAGAATCGAAAATTGAGAATTATAGAAGTTAAATAATATAAATAGGGAAAAATATATAAATGACAAATAAGTAAATGGCAAAGGGAAAATATAGAATATATATATATATATTAATCTCTTGAAAGAGAAAACAAATATATATATATATATATATATATATATATATATATATATATATATATATATATATATATATATATGCTACGTACGTGAAAGAAAGGAAGGAGAAGAATGAATTCAAATTGATGTTTTTTACAAAGCAAAGCTTAGCCTATTTATACTAAAAATTAAGAGACATTTGCGCATGAAAGAAAGGGAGAATGCTGCTACGTGGAGGAGACATAATATGTTACATGGACGTGGACAACATTTTGTGGAAGATTAATTCTGCATGGATTTGAGGCCACAAATATTATTTTCCAACAATCTCCACCTTGGATCAAATCCATATTGGGATTAACAATTGGAACAGTCGACTAAACTCAAACACTGCTTGAACTTAGTAATAGGAAAAGCTTCAGAATAGCAGGATGGATCACCATCAACTTCCTGTGTGACTGAAAGAGCATAAGCAACCATGTTGGTTTCATCATCACTAGCATACCTAGCAGGTTTTTTAATTGTCCTCCTAGGACGATCCATAGCAATGGAATACTCTCGTTGTGGCTCGACGAGAGGTGTTGTGCTAGTAGATGCATCATCTTTAGTATTACCATCAGCAGTAGTAACACTATCAATAGGCCTGAACTCAAACTCCACCTTCTCACCAGTATTCTGCGTCTCATCTGTACTGGGAACTTTTCCAGAAGAAAGTAGTGCATTTTCGTCAAAAGTGATATCTCGACTCAGAATGATTTTCCGAGAATCAGGAGACCATAGACGATACCCTTTTGACTCAGAGGCATAACCAAGGAAAATGCATTTGACAGCTCTCGGGTTCAATTTACCCGTACTGGAATGAGCATAAGCAGGACATCCAAAAACTCTTAAGATAGAGTAATCAACAGGATTACCTGACCAAACTTCCTCTGGAATTTTGAAATCAAGGGATGAATGTGGAGATCTATTTACCAAATAGCATGCAGTAGAAACAGCCTCGGCCCAAAAATCACGCCGTTTCCATAACCCAGCATTAGAGGGCATACAACGAGCTCTTTCCAATAGAGTTCTGTTCAAACGTTCGGCAACACCATTCTGCTGGGGTTTACCAGGCAAGGTCTTGTGCCTGGCGATTCCATTTGCCGCACAGAAGTCATTGAAATCTGACTCACAGAACTCCAAGCCATTGTCTGTCCTGAGCTTCTTGACTTTTTTACCTGTCTGAGTCTCAACAAGTATTTTCCACTTCTTGAAAATAGAAAATGCCTGATTTTTATGTTTCAGGAAATAGACCCAGACTTTACGAGAAAAGTCATCAATAATAGACATAAAATATCTACAGCCTCCCATAGACTGAAATTTAGTTGGTCCCCATAAATCGGAATGTATATATTCCAATACATCTTTGGTACGGTGTGTAGCAGTAGAGAAACTAACTCTCTTTTGTTTTCCAAAAACACAATGCTCACAAAATTGTAATTTACCCGTACCTGAACCACCAAGGAGACCTTTCTTGCTCAGGAGATGCATGCCTTTCTCACTCATATGCCCCAGACGCATATGCCATAATTGAGTGAGATCCGCATCAGACATCGATGAGGATATCGCTACTGAACCCGTCACAGTACTGCCATGCAAGACATACAAGCTTCCAGAACGAGAAGCTTTCATGAGAATAAGAGAGCCTTTTATGACCTTCAGAACTCCACCTTCAGCTATGTACTTGCACCCCAGACTTTCCAAGGTACCCAAGGATATCAGATTGCGTTTCAAATCAGGAATATACCGAACATTGGTAAGAGTCCTGATAACGTTATCATGAGTTTTAATCTGAACACTTCCAATTCCACTAACCTTGCATTGGGTATCATTACCCAGCAAGACAACTCCACCATCAACCGGTTCCAGAGAAATGAACCAATCTTTGTGGGGACACATGTGGAATGTACAACCAGAGTCCAAAATCCACTCGGTTTCACTCCGTTTCTCACCGGAGCTAACAGATAACAAAACATCGCCTTCTGAATCACTTTCAACAACACTAGCTTCAGCGGACTTCTTTTCTCTCTCTTGCTTGTTTTTCAACTTGAAGCATTCAGTCACATCATGACCATGCTTCTTGCAGTACTTACAGGATTTGTTGGACTTGGATCTAGATTTTTTATTGCTACTCTCTGTTTCAAGTGAATGACCCCTTACAGTCAAGCCTTCACCTTTGTCCTCAGACTTAATGTCAAAGTCAAACTTTTCTTTGGACAATAGGTTTGACTTAACATTCTCGAAAGTAAGGGTATCACTACTATTACCATACAGCATAATTTCTTTGAAATGCTTGTATGATTTAGGGAGAGAAACAAGCAATAAAACAGCACGATCCTCATCGTGAATTATGACATCAATATTTTCCAAGTCCAATAAAATAGAATTGAATTCATCTAAGTGAGACTTAATAGAAGTACCTTCCGTCATACGGATTGTGTACAGACGCTCCTTCAGGCGTAGCGTGTTCGCCAGAGTTTTGGCCATGTAAAGCGTATCCAGCTTGGACCATAAATCTGACGCAGTCGTCTCACTTAACACCTCACGTAGAACTTCTTTAGACAGGCACAAAAGAATGGTTGAACGTGCCTTGTCATCCAGATCTTCCCAATCTACATCTGTCATTGTAGCCGGTTTCTTCTTCTTCCCAGTTAGCGCTTTCTTCAAACCGTTCTGGGTTAGAACGGCTTCCATCTGAACCTTCCAGATAGAAAAGCTAATTTTCCCGTCGAACTTCTCGATATCGAACTTGGTAACAGTTGACATCTTTGAAAATAACTCTCAATTAAACTTGGCTCTGATACCACTTGTTAGGAATATAGCGGAATATTGCGGAAGCGAAGAATCGAAAATTGAGAATTATAGAAGTTAAATAATATAAATAGGGAAAAATATATAAATGACAAATAAGTAAATGGCAAAGGGAAAATATAGAATATATATATATATATTAATCTCTTGAAAGAGAAAACAAATATATATATATATATATATATATATATATATATATATATATATATATATATATATATATATATGCTACGTACGTGAAAGAAAGGAAGGAGAAGAATGAATTCAAATTGATGTTTTTTACAAAGCAAAGCTTAGCCTATTTATACTAAAAATTAAGAGACATTTGCGCATGGAAGAAAGGTAGAATGCTGCTACGTGGAGGAGACATAATATGTTACATGGACGTGGACAACATTTTGTGGAAGACTAATTCTGCATGGATTTGAGGCCACAAATATTATTTTCCAACATGCTTGCAACTTTTATTTTTGAATCTCTGTTACTCATCAATTTGCGGCTGGCTGGACCTCCACCAGATTATCTGATCGCCTCAGCATAGCTTCCTGTTAGCCTCCGCTCAACAATTCTGCCTTTCCACTACTACCACTTGTTAACATCAACCGCTTATCACCACGTCAAAAGTTATAGCTAGTAGCGATTAGCGAAGGTGCAACTTTATTTCCTTATACTGTTATACATTTTCGAGGCGCGAGGTGTTAGACTTTGTCCTTTATGCCATTTACTGGCCTCCGCTCAACAATCCCTGGCCACCGACTGCTCAATTGTTATACCATGAACTAGTGTTCATATTGCATTGTGAACCCTGATTCAAAAATTACGTGTTTGTAGTTAACACAATTTGTATATGCAATTAACAATTTATGTACCTGTAAACAATTGAAAGCACGTAATATGATAATTACAGACACATAACATGATAACTACGGACACAAATTGTTAACTGCATGTACAAAATATGTTAACTGCATACAGATAAGAGGTTGGTTAACATGTTATGTGTCTGTAGTTAACATATTTGTACCTACACTTAACAACTGCATCTTATATACCTATAGTTAACAATTTATATGTCTGTAGTTATCATGTTATATGTCAGTAATTATCATGTGATGTGCCTTCAATTTGTTTACAGGTACATAAATGAATCATTACAGATACAAAATTAGAATGTCATTTTTAGATAATGGTCTACAATGTAAGATAGACCCTAATCCATGGTATAATTTGCCTTGAGTATTAAACTTAACCTTTACCAACCAAGACAGCTCAATCAACTAATTGTCAATTTAAAATAAGTTTAAAATTCAATTTAATTCGATGGAAGTCCCCGGATGAATGGTTTGATTTCTTTCAAATGAGAGGTATGGTACCGGTAGATTGTTGAGATATATCTTCCAACTGACCTATTCCACCAAAATTTTAAATGGGATCGGAGTTATCACGATTAGGGGCCTCATGGTATTGATCGCCGGCCAACTCTTTTTGAATTCGATAGCAACAGTAGAATGCAAAGTTCAATTCCTATAGAAGGGAGTGCAAGGTGTAAAATTTGATTCCTTTCAATTTATTAGAAGGGGCATATGAAATTGATAGATTATTGAGATACATCTTACAGTCTATCTCTTTTACTAAAATTTTAAGGTAAGAGTAAGTGAGAGGTTTCGACATTGTGGCCCCATGGCATTGGTCCAGGGCCAACTCTAAAACATTTATGGGGTACGGTGTTTAGTTGGATGTAATTGAAATTTTTTTCTTACCTTATTCAATGGCCATGCAAATAACAATATTTGGTCAGAGGGACAATTCTCTCATTTTGTTGAATTGCAATTTATGGGGCACCGGGATACCCTCATGATTTGTAATTCAATGCTTGTAATAAAGGAAAAAAGTGAAGAAGTGACAACAATATTCTTAGTTATTATTATTATTATTATTATTATTACACAATAACATTTTAGTATTTATACCATTTATTTATTTCCTTC